TCAAGACAATTATATGTATTCTAGAAGTACATAAACATCACTGAGTCATTTCAGACAATTATCTGTATTCTGTAAGTACATAAACATCACCGAGTCAATTAAAGACAATTATCTGTATTCTGTAAGTACATAAAATTATCTGAGTCAATTTAAGACAGTTATCTGTATTCTGTAAGTAAATCAACATGTCTGAGTCATTTCAGATAATTATCTGTATATTGAAAGTAATTAAACATCACTGAGTCATTTCAGACATATATCAGTATTCTGTAAGTACATAAACATCACTGAGTCATTTCAGACAATAATATGTATTCTGTAAGTACATAAACATCACTGAGTCATTTCAGACAATAATCTGTATTATGTAAGTACATAAACATCACTGAGTCATTTCAGACATATATCAGTATTCTGTAAGTACATAAACATCACTGAGTCATTTCAGACAATAATATGTATTCTGTAAGTACATAAACATCACTGAGTCATTTCAGACAATTATCTGTATTATGTAAGTACATAAACATCACTGAGTCAGTTCAAAAAATTATATGTATTCTGTAAGTACATAAACATCACTGAGTCAGTTCAGACAAAAATCTGTATTCTGTAAGTACATAAAATATTCTGAGTTAGTACAAGACAATTATCTGTATTCTGTAAGTACATAAACATCACTGAGTCATTTACGACAATTATCTGTTTTCTGTAAGTACATAAACATAACCGATTCAATTAGAGACAATTATCTGTATTCTGTAAGTACATAAAATTATCTGAGTCATTTCAGACAATTATCTGTATTATGTAAGTACATAAACATCACTGAGTCATTTCAGACAGTTATCTGTATTCTGTAAGTACATAAACATCACTTAGTCATTTCAGACTTATATCAGTATTCTGTAAGTACATAAACATCACTGAGTCAGTTCAAGACATTTATCTGTATTTTGTAAAAACATAAACATCTCTGAGTCATTTAAAGACAATTATCTGTATTCTGAAAGTACATAAACATCACTAAGTCAGTTCAAATAATTATCTGTATTCTGTAAGTACATAAACATCACTTAGTCAGTTCAAGACAATTATATGTATTCTAGAAGTACATAAACATCACTGGGTCATTTCAGACAATTATCTGTATTTTATAAGTACATAAACATCACTGAGTCAGTTAAGACAATTATCTGTATACTGTAAGTACATAAGCATCACTGAGTCAGTTCAGACAATTATCTGTATTCTGTAAGTACATAAAAATCACTGAGTCAGTTCAAGACAATTATATGTATTCTAGAAGTACATAAACATCACTGGGTCATTTCAGACAATTATCTGTATTCTGTAAGAATTTTAGAAGTACATAAACATCACTGAGTCAGTTAAGACAATTATCTGTATACTGTAAGTACATAAGCATCACTGAGTCAGTTCAGACAATTATCTGTATTCTGTAAGTACATAAACATCACTAAGTCAGTTCAAGACAATTATATGTATTCTAGAAGTACATAAACATCACTGGGTAATTTCAGACAATTATCTGTATTCTGTAAGTACATAAACATCACCGAGTCAATTAAAGACAATTATCTGTATTCTGTAAGTACATAAAATTATCTGAGTCAATTTAAGACAGTTATCTGTATTCTGTAAGTAAATAAACATGTCTGAGTCATTTCAGATAATTATCTGTATATTGAAAGTAATTAAACATCACTGAGTCATTTCAGACATATATCAGTATTCTGTAAGTACATAAACATCACTGAGTCATTTCAGACAATAATATGTATTCTGTAAGTACATAAACATCACTGAGTCATTTCAGACAATAATCTGTATTATGTAAGTACATAAACATCACTGAGTAAGTTTAGACAAATATCTGTATTCTGTAAGTACATAAAATATTCTGAGTTAGTACAAGACAATTATCTGTATTCTGTAAGTACATAAACATCACTGAGTCATTTACGACAATTATCTGTTTTCTGTAAGTACATAAACATAACCGAGTCAATTAAAGACAATTATCTGTATTCTGTAAGTACATAAAATTATCTGAATCTTTTCAGACAATTATCTGTATTTTATAAGTACATAAACAACACTGAGTCAGTTAAGACAATTATCTGTATACTGTAAGTACATAAGCATCACTGAGTCAGTTCAGACAATTATCTGTATTCTGTAAGTACATAAAAATCACTGAGTCAGTTCAAGACAATTATATGTATTCTAGAAGTACATAAACATCACTGGGTCATTTCAGACAATTATCTGTATTCTGTAAGTATTTTAGAAGTACATAAACATCACTGAGTCAGTTAAGACAATTATCTGTATACTGTAAGTACATAAGCATCACTGAGTCAGTTCAGACAATTATCTGTATTCTGTAAGTACATAAACATCACTAAGTCAGTTCAAGACAATTATATGTATTCTAGAAGTACATAAACATCACTGAGTCATTTCAGACAATTATCTGTATTCTGTAAGTACATAAACATCACCGAGTCAATTAAAGACAATTATCTGTATTCTGTAAGTAAATCAACATGTCTGAGTCATTTCAGATAATTATCTGTATATTGAAAGTAATTAAACATCACTGAGTCATTTCAGACATATATCAGTATTCTGTAAGTACATAAACATCACTGAGTCATTTCAGACAATAATATGTATTCTGTAAGTACATAAACATCACTGAGTCATTTCAGACAATAATCTGTATTATGTAAGTACATAAACATCACTGAGTCATTTCAGACATATATCAGTATTCTGTAAGTACATAAACATCACTGAGTCATTTCAGACAATAATATGTATTCTGTAAGTACATAAACATCACTGAGTCATTTCAGACAATTATCTGTATTATGTAAGTACATAAACATCACTGAGTCAGTTCAAAAAATTATATGTATTCTGTAAGTACATAAACATAACTGAGTCAGTTCAGACAAAAATCTGTATTCTGTAAGTACATAAAATATTCTGAGTTAGTACAAGACAATTATCTGTATTCTGTAAGTACATAAACATCACTGAGTCATTTACGACAATTATCTGTTTTCTGTAAGTACATAAACATAACCGATTCAATTAGAGACAATTATCTGTATTCTGTAAGTACATAAAATTATCTGAGTCATTTCAGACAATTATCTGTATTATGTAAGTACATAAACATCACTGAGTCATTTCAGACAGTTATCTGTATTCTGTAAGTACATAAACATCACTTAGTCATTTAAGACTTATATCAGTATTCTGTAAGTACATAAACATCACTGAGTCAGTTCAAGACATTTATCTGTATTTTGTAAAAACATAAACATCTCTGAGTCATTTAAAGACAATTATCTGTATTCTGAAAGTACATAAACATCACTAAGTCAGTTCAAATAATTATCTGTATTCTGTAAGTACATAAACATCACTTAGTCAGTTCAAGACAATTATATGTATTCTAGAAGTACATAAACATCACTGGGTCATTTCAGACAATTATCTGTATTTTATAAGTACATAAACATCACTGAGTCAGTTAAGACAATTATCTGTATACTGTAAGTACATAAGCATCACTGAGTCAGTTCAGACAATTATCTGTATTCTGTAAGTACATAAAAATCACTGAGTCAGTTCAAGACAATTATATGTATTCTAGAAGTACATAAACATCACTGGGTCATTTCAGACAATTATCTGTATTCTGTAAGAATTTTAGAAGTACATAAACATCACTGAGTCAGTTAAGACAATTATCTGTATACTGTAAGTACATAAGCATCACTGAGTCAGTTCAGACAATTATCTGTATTCTGTAAGTACATAAACATCACTAAGTCAGTTCAAGACAATTATATGTATTCTAGAAGTACATAAACATCACTGGGTAATTTCAGACAATTATCTGTATTCTGTAAGTACATAAACATCACCGAGACAATTAAAGACAATTATCTGTATTCTGTAAGTACATAAAATTATCTGAGTCAATTTAAGACAGTTATCTGTATTCTGTAAGTAAATAAACATGTCTGAGTCATTTCAGATAATTATCTGTATATTGAAAGTAAATAAACATCACTGAGTCATTTCAGACATATATCAGTATCTGTAAGTACATAAACATCACTGAGTCATTTCAGACAATAATATGTATTCTGTAAGTACATAAACATCACTGAGTCATTTCAGACAATAATCTGTATTATGTAAGTACATAAACATCACTGAGTCATTTCAGACATATATCAGTATTCTGTAAGTACATAAACATTACTGAGTCATTTCAGACAATAATATGTATTCTGTAAGTACATAAACATCACTGAGTCATTTCAGACAATTATCTGTATTATGTAAGTACATAAACATCACTGAGTAATTTCAGAGAGTTATCTGTATTCTGTAAGTACATAAACATCACTGAGTCATTTCAGACTTATATCAGTATTCTGTAAGTACATAAACATCACTGAGTCAGTTCAAAAAATTATCTGTATTCTGTAAGTACATAAACATCACTGAGTCAGTTCAGACAAATATCTGTATTCTGTAAGTACATAAAATATTCTGAGTCAGTTCAAGACAATTATCTGTATTCTGTAAGTACATAAACATCACTGAGTCATTTACGACAATTATCTGTTTTCTGTAAGTACATAAACATCACCGATTCAATTAAAGACAATTATCTGTATTCTGTAAGTACATAAAATTATCTGAGTCATTTCAGACAATTATCTGTATTATGTAAGTACATAAACATCACTGAGTCATTTCAGACAGTTATCTGTATTCTGTAAGTACATAAACATCACTGAGTCATTTCAGACTTATATCAGTATTCTGTAAGTACATAAACATCACTGAGTCAGTTTAGACAATAATCTGTATACTGTAAGTACATAAGCATCTCTGAGTCATTTCAGACAATTATCTGTATTCTGTAAGTACATAAACATCACTGAGTCAGTTCAAGACAATTATATGTATTCTAGAAGTACATAAACATCACTGGGTAATTTCAGACAATTATCTGTATTCTGTAAGTACATAAACATCACCGAGTCAATTAAAGACAATTATCTGTATTCTGTAAGTACATAAAATTATCTGAGTCATTTTAAGACAGTTATCTGTATTCTGTAAGTAAATAAACATGTCTGAGTCATTTCAGATAATTATCTGTATATTGAAAGTAAATAAACATCACTGAGTCATTTCAGACATGTATCAGTATCTGTAAGTACATAAACATCACTGAGTCATTTCAGACAATAATATGTATTCTGTAAGTACATAAACATCACTGAGTCATTTCAGACAATAATCTGTATTATGTAAGTACATAAATATCACTGAGTCATTTCAGACATATATCAGTATTCTGTAAGTACATAAACATCACTGAGTCATTTTAGACAATAATATGTATTCTGTAAGTACATAAACATCACTGAGTCATTTCAGACAATTATCTGTATTATGTAAGTACATAAACATCACTGAGTCATTTCAGAGAGTTATCTGTATTCTGTAAGTACATAAACATCACTGAGTCATTTCAGACTTATATCAGTATTCTGTAAGTACATAAACATCACTGAGTCAGTTCAAAAAATTATCTGTATTCTGTAAGTACATAAACATCACTGAGTCAGTTCAGACAAATATCTGTATTCTGTAAGTACATAAATAATTCTGAGTCAGTTCAGGACAATTATCTGTATTCTGTAAGTACATAAACATCACTGAGTCATTTACGACAATTATCTGTTTTCTGTAAGTACATAAACATCACCGATTAAATTAAAGACAATTATCTGTATTCTGTAAGTACATAAACATCACTGAGTCATTTCAGACTTATATCAGTATTCTGTAAGTACATAAACATCACTGAGTCAGTTTAGACAATAATCTGTATACTGTAAGTACATAAGCATCTCTGAGTCATTTCAGACAATTATCTGTATTCTGTAAGTACATAAACATCACTGAGTCAGTTCAAGACAATTATATGTATTCTAGAAGTACATAAACATCACTGGGTCATTTCAGACAATCATCTGTATTCTGTAAGTACATAAACATCACCGAGTCAATTAAAGACAATTATGTGTATTCTGTAAGTACATAAACATCACTGAGTCATTTCCGACTTATATCAGTATTCTGTAAGTACATAAACATCACTGAGTCAGTTCAAAAAATTATCTGTATTCTGTAAGTACATAAACATCACTGAGTTATTTTAGTTAATTAACTGTATTCTGTAAGTACATAAACATCACTGAGTCAGTTCAAGACAATTATATGTATTCTTGAAGTACATAAACATCACTGGGTCATTTCAGACAGTTATCTGTATTCTGTAAGTACAGAAACATCACTGTGTCAGTTCAAGACATTTATCTGTATTCTGGATATATAAACATCACTGCGTCAGTTCAAGACAGTTATCTGTTTTCTGAAAGTACATAAACATCACTGAGTCATTTAAGACAGTTATCTGTATTCTGTAAGTACATAAACATGTCTGAGTCATTTCAGACAATTATCTGTATATTGAAAGTACATAAACATCACTGAGTCATTTCAGACATATATCAGTATTCTGTAAGTACATAAACATCACTGAGTCATTTCAGACATATATCAGTATTCTGTAAGTACATAAACATCACTGAGTCATTTCAGACATATATCAGTATTCTGTAAGTACATAAACATCACTGAGTCATTTCAGACAATAATCCTTATTTTGTAAGTACATAAACATCACTGAGTCATTTCAGACCATTATCTGTATTCTGTTAGTACTTAAACATCACTGAGTCAGCTCAAGACAAATATCTGTATTCTGTGAGTAGATATACATCACTGAGTCAATTCAAGACAGTTATCTATATTCCGTAAGTAGATAGACATCACTGAGTCAGTTCAAGACAGTTATCTGTATTCTGGCAGTACATAAACATCATTGAGTCATTTCAGACAGTTATCTGTATTCTGTAAGTACATAAACATCACTGAGTCATTTCAGACAATTATCTGTATTCTGAAAGTACATAAACATCACTGAGTCATTTAAGACAGTTATCTGTATTCTGTAAGTACATAAACATCACTGAGTCATTTCAGAAGATTATCTGTTATCTGTAGGTACATAAACATCCTTGAGTCAGTTCAAGACATTTATCTGTATTTTGTAAAAACAAAAACATCACTGAGTCATTTAAAGACAATTATCTGTATTCTGAAAGTACATAAACATCACTAAGTCAGTTCAAAAAATTATCTGTATTCTGTAAGTACATAAACATCACTTAGTCAGTTCAAGACAATTATATGTATTCTAGAAGTACATAAACATCACTGGGTCATTTCAGACAATTATCTGTATTCTGTAAGTACATAAAAATCACCGAGTAAATTAAAGACAATTATCTGTATTCTGTAAGTACATAAAATTATCTGAGTCATTTAAGACAATTATCTGTATTTTGTAAGTACATAAACATCACTGAGTCAGTTTAGACAATTATCTATATACTGTAAGTACATAAACATCACTGAGTCATTTCAGACAGTTATCTGTATTATGTAAGTACATAAACATCACTGAGTCAGTTCAGACAATTATCTGTATTCTGTGAGTACAGAAACATCACTGAGTCAGTTCAAGACATTTATTTTTATTCTGGATATATAAACATCACTGCGTCAGTTCAAGACAGTTATCTGTATACTGGCAGTACATTAACATCACTGAGTCATTTCAGACAGTTATCTGTATTCTGTAAGTACATAAACATCACTAAGTTATGTCAGACAGTTATCTGTATTCTGTAAGTACATAAACATCACTAAGTCATTTTAGACAATTATCTGTAGCCTGTAAGTACATAAATATCACTGAGTCATTTCAGACAATTATCTGTATTCTGAAAGTACATAAACATCACTGAGTCATTTAAGACAGTTATCTGTATTCTGTAAGTACATAAACATGTCTGATTTATTTCAGACAATTATCTGTATTCTTAAAGTACATAAACATCACTGAGTCATTTCAGACTTATATCAGTATTCTGTAAGTACATAAACATCACTGAGTCATTTCAGACAATAATCTGTATTCTGTAGGTACATAAACATCACTGAGTCGTTTCAAACAATTATCTGTATTCTGTAAGTACATAAACATCACTGAGTCATTTCAGAAAGTTATCTGTATTTTGAAAGTATAGAAACATCACTGAGTCATTTCAGAAAATAATCTGTATTATGTAAGTACCGAAACATCCCTAAGTCATTTCAGACAATTATCTGTATTCTGTAAGTACATAAACATCACTGAGTCATTTCAGACAATTATCTGTATTCTGAAAGTACATAAACATCACTGAGTCATTTAAGACAGTTATCTGTATTCTGTAAGTACATAAACATGTCTGAGTTATTTAAGACAATTATCTGTATATTGAAAGTACATAAACATCACTGAGTCATTTCAGAGAGTTATCTGTATTCTGTAAGTACATAAACATCACTGAGTCATTTCAGACTTATATCAGTATTCTGTAAGTACATAAACATCACTGAGTCAGTTCAAAAAATTATCTGTATTCTGTAAGTACATAAACATCACTGAGTCAGTTCAGACAAATATCTGTATTCTGTAAGTACATAAATAATTCTGAGTCAGTTCAGGACAATTATCTGTATTCTGTAAGTACATAAACATCACTGAGTCATTTCAGACTTATATCAGTATTCTGTAAGTACATAAACATCACTGAGTCATTTAAGACAGTTATCTGTATTCTGTAAGTACATAAACATGTCTGATTTATTTCAGACAATTATCTGTATTCTTAAAGTACATAAACATCACTGAGTCATTTCAGACTTATATCAGTATTCTGTAAGTACATAAACATCACTGAGTCATTTCAGAAAAAAATCTGTATTATGTAAGTACCGAAACATCCCTAAGTCATTTCAGACAATAATCTGTATTCTGTAAGTAAATAAACATCACTGAGTCGTTTCAAACAATTATCTGTATTCTGTAAGTACATAAACATCACTGAGTCATTTCAGAAAGTTATCTGTATTTTGAAAGTATAGAAACATCACTGAGTCATTTCAGAAAATAATCTGTATTATGTAAGTACCGAAACATCCCTAAGTCATTTCAGACAATTATCTGTATTCTGTAAGTACATAAACATCACTGAGTCATTTCAGACAATTATCTGTATTCTGAAAGTACATAAACATCACTGAGTCATTTAAGACAGTTATCTGTATTCTGTAAGTACATAAACATGTCTGAGTTATTTAAGACAATTATCTGTATATTGAAAGTACATAAAAATCACTGAGTCATTTCAGACATATATCAGTATTCTGTAAGTACATAAACATCACTGAGTCATTTCAGACATATATCAGTATTCTGTAAGTACATAAACATCACTGAGTCATTTCAGATAATTATCTGTATTCTGAAAGTACATAAACATCACTGAGTCATTTAAGACAGTTATCTTTATTCTGTAAGTACATAAACATCACCGAGTCATTTCAGACAATTATCTGTATTCTGTAAGTACATAAACATGTATGAAACATTTCAGACAATTATCTGTATATTGAAAGTATATAAACATCACTGAGTCATTTCAGACATATATCAGTATTCTTTAAGTACATAAACATCACTGAGTCGTTTCAGACAATTATCTGTATTCTGAAAGTACATAAACATCACTGAGTCATTTAAGACAGTTATCTGTATTCTGTAAGTACATAAACATGTGTGAGTCTTTTCAGACAATTATCTGTATTCTGTAAGTACATAAACATCACTTAGTCAGTTCAAGACAATTATATGTATTCTAGAAGTACATAAACATCACTGGGTCATTTCAGACAATTATCTGTATTCTGTAAGTACATAAAAATCACCGAGTAAATTAAAGACAATTATCTGTATTCTGTAAGTACATAAAATTATCTGAGTCATTT